AGCAATGAGGAAATATATACTTAGATTTCATTTAGATACCAAAAAAGAGGGTCTTTGGGTTGCAAGTAACGAAGCTGAGTTGTTTAAAACTTGCAGTCCTCTTAAGAGAAAAATTTTCTTTAGTCCCTGGAAAACTCAGGAATTTTCAAGGTTTTCATGGGATGAACATGAAGAATGGCATCTTGTTAAATGTACATTTGCTTTAAATCCTGAGACACATATGTGAGCTTTGCTCATTTCAGCCTCCCTCATGCTGGATGTTACCTTTCTGGTCTGCAGAAATGTCAGCGAATCCCAGGTGCAGCTCTCTGTAGCAGTGCCCCTGGGGCTAGCAGGTGGCAGTTCAGTCAGGGTGGTTTGCCTGGCTGCAGCTGGTCGTGACCTACTGGCCCCAGTCACTGTCTTTGGTGAAGGGGAAGAAGGGAGAGGGCAGCAGAGCTCTGAGTAACTGAATGAAGATCTGTGGCCTGTGCTCTGTACTGGGCCACGCTTGAATCTTTCAAAAGATCTCTGAATCTTTTAACCTTCCCTTTCTTTCCTTTTTATTTATTCATTTATTTTTATTTTTAAATTTAGAGAGCTCTATCTTGTAGAATACAGGGAAAAGAATCTGGAGATTGTAAAAAACTTATGATGGGACTAGTAGGGGACAAACAACTGGCGGGGAAATGGACGACTCAGGGCTTTTCAGGGAGGAACACGCATAGGAGAACAGAGTGATAAGGGAATAAAGGTCTGGTTGCTTGTGAACAGGTTGCTGGTCAGCACACTTGCCTGGCTATATGCTGTGCATTATCAGCAGACTGTCCTGTCTAAATAAACTCAATTTGTAATTATTTTTCTGGTGAGGGACTCCTTATTTTTGTGCATGTGTATGGACGGAGATCTGTGTGCCACAAACTGGAGTCAGGTGTCCATGCACGTGTGGTGCCACCAACTGCAGTGAGCAAGTGTCTGCGTGTCAGCATGTCACTGAGTGGCAGTGAATACGTGGCAGACTCAGCACAGACTCCGTTGCTTCTTGGATCTTGTCCATCTGCAGGACCAGTTGCTACCAGTTTCTTAAGATAGGCTCACACTCTTATTAAGAGACTGACCTTGGTAAGGGGCCCAAGGCTTCTTGCTTTAGTTAATTTGCACAGTGATTCCTTTTTTTTTAAAAAAAAATTTGCACGCTGGTTCCTTTTTATATGTTCATTCTTTTCCTGCATGTCCCGAAGTGCTTATTTTGAGGAGCCTCACCCCGTAGTCCCCTGCTCGCTGCCAACCTCGCGGTGCAGCGGGGATGCGGGGCCGGGCGGCGGGGCCCTGCCCTCTGGCGGCGGCGGCGCCGCAGTTTTGGGGATTTAAACTTAATCTTTAGCAACATGCCTATTAGTTTGTCACTCATAAAACACATCTTTACGTACTGAGCTCTACGCACACACTTCACCAGTACTGGTGATGCAGATTTTCAACACCATTTTTCTTATTTTAGAGCTATACCGCCAGCAGGAGAAAATAAACTTCAGTGCTCAGCATCTCTAGTGCTAATTGTATCTCATTGTTTGAGAGTAAAGAATGTGTAGGTATGTATTTCTAGCAGCCCTTTTTGTGAATAACCAGCTTTCTTACATTTTCTGTTTTATTTATTTATTTATTTATTTATTTACTTATTTATTAACCATTCCAATTCTTTGAATTCATGGTTTCCCTAAGAGGACAGATTATCAGACAGAAAATCTAAACTGCCTGGGTTCCTCTCAGATATCGTGGCAAAAGAGAGAGAGAGCAGAAGCAGGACTGTGCTTGAGCAAGTGTGTTGTACTACTTGTAGCTTCCAGAGAAGAACTGATGATGTAGATAGGCACGAGCAGCCTCCTGGAGTGTGTAAGTCTCCAGAGAGCAGCTTCACCCCACAGGGCACCCTGACATGGGAAGGTGGTGCAAGAGTCCAAGGTCCTGAAACAATTCACCAAGACTTCTCCACTCCTAACCCTGCACGGCACTGACACTCCTCTCCAGGCCTTTCTTTTTAGACAAAAAGACCTTTGTGATTCCTTTACTTTGCTTGCTCTCTGCTCAGTGCAAGAGACTCTCGTGTCAAGCAACACACAGTTGTCTTCCAAACTGGCGCTGTAGGGTTCTGTGCACCTCTGATAGATGCCGAGTACCTTCGGTTTTGGTGTTTCTGAGAGTTGCAGGCTATCAGATACAAATCCTCATTTGAAGAGAGCCTATGAGAGCCAAGTTTCTCGCAGCACATGTTTTTCAAGGGTTTGTGTCAGTAAGACCTACTGCATTTTTTTCTATGGACATGACCAGGAAGATAATCTTCCTTTATCATTTACTTACAATTTAATTCAAATTGCCAAGACAATGGTAGACGCTCCCTGCCTGGGAAAAGTTCTCAGTGAGCCTGCGGGGTAGGCCATGGTGGTTTTTGCTGCTTCTCCCCATGTCATGACTTTCTAAGGCCAGTTTGGTCCAGTGTTGGTTAGAATTATGTTAGGTGAGGTAAATGGAAACCGTGTAATTCCCTGCCTTCAGCTCACACCCTTTTGACATCTGTTTTCCCTGGTGTTTATAGTAAGGCTTTGCTATGCTACCTGCTGCACAGTGTCATGACTCCTAGCAATGAGCAACACTTGTGTTTTCCAGCTCATTGAGCTGTTTTCCTGGACTGAATTGTAAGTGTGTGTGTGTGTGTGTGTGCGTGCGTGTGTGTTTTAAATTAGCCCCACTAGCTTTAAAGCTAGTGAGCTAGCTATACTTTTCCATGGATAAAGTGGTTTTGGTTGCCATGAACAGGAGAAAACAGTAAGAATCGGGTAACTGAGCTGGCCACAAAATCGGAGTGATGAGAAAAGGTAACTATAGAGACAGGATTTCCCCAGGTACAGAGGAAATAAATTAGCATCGTGACTCAATAAACCTGGGCAAAGGTTCCTGTCTGAGATCAATTTCTGAGGTCCCTGTCTATATGACTTTCAATTGATGGCCTAACATAATGGTGCCGGTGGTTTTCAGCTTGAGTTCACCTTGAAACACGAAAAAAACAGCAGCCACTGGAGTGGCATAAAATACAGATTGATTCATTCAGCTGGGGCAAGGAGGTGCTACTTGGAGGTGAGTCCTAGGGAAAGACCAACAGGGTTATGAAGGTAAGCTCCCCAAAAGTGGTCAGAATCGAAGTTCCCTACCAACTGTAGTGTGAGAATTTGTGTGGTTACACCTCAGTGCAGTCACTGGAAAGTGGGAGCTCATCATCTCTTCATTTAATGCCAAAACAGCAGGGACAGAGTGTTGACAGATGAAGGCCAGGCATACTTGTGGAGATGTCACAATCTCTCTTAGAACACTGGGAAAGAGATGAGATCTGCTGAAACTGTTTTGCTCCATTGGATCCACTGGACAACACTTCTGGTGACCCTCAGCCAGGAAACCTGGATGTGTAATGGCATAGGTTATACCCAGTGCCAGGACCCTTCTGGTGGCAGACTGGAGCCAAGATGTCTGGCAAGGCTGGTCCAGAGCAAGGGAATGAAAGAGAACTTACCTCCAAACTGCCATCAGTGGTGAGGCTACAACAGCTCAGTTCCCTCCAGGTGTGGTAAGTTGTGCAAAGGAGACAATGGCCGTACCTCAGATGTGATGGGGATTACACCTCAGAGAGCTTTTGTTGGGGTGTTTGCTACCGTGGTACTTAGGACCTGGGCTTTGCTGGTACGCTGGTAGGTGTTGAAAGTAACCATATCACGACGCAGAAATAAGCATAATGCCCCCAAACTCGATTCTGACCAAATGAGTGAAATGCACGTAGGACAAGAAACTGTAATGAAAAAGGACCAGTTCTTACCATGGAACGTTTCTTGCAGTAGACTTGTTCTGGAGGCACATCTCTTGAACTGTGCAGAAATGGATAAGATTTAGATGCTAAGAAATGAGCTGTCCTTTTGTAGTCTTCAGGGCAACAAAGTCATACAGCTGTGCTTTGTTACTGGGAGGTGAATGTTCACAGGATAAGAGCAGGCATGGGATCGGTCAGGATCAGTAGCAAATTAGCAGTCACGGATGTTATAGATTCAGGTACTGATGTTTCAGAGCCATGGAAACCTTGCAAGTGTGACTTTCTGCCCTGATTTTTCCCGCCCACGTCTGAGGTGAATCTGGCGAGAGGGAGGGGCCAGCTCCCGCCTGGAGGCCGCCTCGCTGCCGTACGGGCCCCGGGGGCACGGAGCGGCCGCCAGGGGGCAGCAAAGCCCCGCGGGAGCGCGGCGCTGCGGGCCCGCCGAGCCGCGGAGCGGAGCGGGGCAGGCCCGGGGCCCGGCGGCCGGGGCCGCGGCTCGGGGCTTGCCCTGGGCCCGGCCGGGGGGTGGCGGCGGCTCGAGGCCGGTGCCCGGGGCCCTCGCTCGGCCCCGCTTCCCCGGCGCCGTCCCGGAGCTCGGCGGCGCTTCCCGCGGAGGGCCGGCAGGTGGCAGCGGTGCCCGGCGGGTGTGAGGGGAGCGGGCAGGGTTTGGTGGCGCGGTGCCGTGAAACCAGCCGGCCGCAGCGCTGGGGACGGTCCGGGAATGGGCTCCCGGCTCTCTGTGATTCGGCAGCACAACTTTTAGTCTCGGACAGACACTTTGTGTGGTGCGAATTGATCTGCCAGGGGAGAGGCTGCACTGCCGCTGGCAAAGGAGCCGTCCTTTTGTAGTAGTAGTGCCTAATTTACACGCCTGCCTCCGCTCTCTTTCGAGCCTTCTATTCATAAGCAACACATCAAGGGTGGACGCATGCCAGCAGAACAGCCTGTCTTCGGCAAAGACACGAGCTTTTTGAGCTTTTTTTTTTTCACCCTTGCTTGACTCTGTACTTGTGCTGGCACAGAAAGCCTGTCAGCACAACCTCCATCGTTACCTTATTTTTCCTCACTGACTTTCCTCCCTCTGCAGGTCCCTTCAACCCTTCAGTTTGTTCCTGATAAATATCTTGACACCGAGAAAGGCGCTAACAGGTTTGTGTGTGTTTTTATTTAGCAGCCATTCTTTCTGAGCTCGGTTTTGAAGAAGCAAAAGTCTCTGCAGCTGTCACCTGAACGTTTCCCGTCTGATTCAGCTGCCTTGCCTGCTCTTTCTTGCTCAGGGTAATTGTAAGCTGCCCCGTAGCCACGAAACAACTTGAGCTTCTTGCTGAAATCGCACCCAGCCGTTTCTTTCCGCAAGGCGAGGGAGAAAGGAGGTCTGCAAGAGTTCACGTTAATAATGACTTAAATGCCCATTTCCCACACATCTTTGCTAGCACAAACAACGAAAATAGTCCACTTGCAAAGAACCTGATTCAGCTTTCTTGCATTCCACAATAACAGATGGATTGCTAGACTGTTTACTGTTGCTTCCCACAAACTTCCTGTTAGTAAACTCCTGTATTATTTATGAAACAGAAAAATTACAAAGAAGTACCCTAGCTGATTACTGCCTGCTGGTGAACCACTGCCAGAGAAACTTATTATACAAATATGTGTATGAGAGCAAAGATTGCTCTGGCTGCTGCTTTTTTTGTTGTTGTTGTTTTACTCTTACAATTGTTCATTTCACAGTATTCTGCAACCCTGACTGGACTCGTGGCCCTATTGTGTTGCATTCCCAAGCAGGTATTTCCTGCATCCAGACATTGACAGTCAAATCAAGGCATTCATGGATGTGTGAAGGAGCAAGGAGGAAAAACAAAGGAAAAAAAAAAAAAAAAGCACGCATGCATTGTTGCAGCAATCAGCTACGAATAAGAAACGTTTGAAGCCTTTTTGTTTTACAATGACAATGATGAATGAGATGTTTCTAATGTGATATTAATCTTTGCTGCCTTCGTGTATGAAGCCTGTTATCTTGGAGCTGTTGGTAGAAAAGAGAGAGAATATCGATCACCTTCATGCTACTTCTGATATAAGTAGGTAGCAAATGCAAAGAAACTATTTTCCTCTCAGTTTGGCTGTTAAACTCCGTGAAACATATGAGCTGAGAAAAGCACTTTGTTTTCACTGCATCCTGTAGGTTTGATTGATTTCTGACTTTCGGCAGCATGAGAAGGGAGGCCAGCCTATAGTCCATTTGCACAATGTATCAACAAAGCTAGCTAATTTAAAAAGTAGTCTGTGATAAAAAGGAATAAAATGTAACGCAGAAATATGAATCTTGTATCTTACCCAAAGTACTTGTCGTGATTCTAGAAATAACACTTGACCTAACAATAACACAGTCGTTCTGTTTTTTGAATAGCTGCTATTATATTTCCCCGTGTTTCTGTTCTATGTATGTGTTCTGTATGAACGAATTGGCTGCTCCACCTGATATTTATGACTGTAGACGTGCATTATACATACATACAGAAACAGAATGAAAATTTTCCTGATCTGAGATACAGATAAGTCTTCCTTGAGATTTTTTTTTTTTTGATTCCCTAAACTGAAATCAAAACTCAAACCAGCACTGCAGACTGAGTGCTTTCTAATGTTATAGACCTGCTATCATGGATCTTTCATTGCATAAAGTTTAACACAAAAAAGCTGGTGTACGTTGTAGGCATCTGCAGGATGCTGATTAAATCATCATATACCTTTATAAGGACTGTATCTGCAAAGAGTCAATGCCGAATGGAATGGGGCTTCTGCTGATCCTGGGGCAGAGCTTGTTTGTGTGCATTTATCTGTGAGACTGTCACATAACTTATCACTTGTTTCAAATAATAATATTTTCTCTGATCAAATTCTCTCTCTTCTCTGCATTTTTAAATGCTCTCACTCTAAGCTCCTATTGACAGGAAAAGTATTCAATATTATTAAGGGCAGATGATCAACTGCAGTATCTGTCTCCTGATGCTTCACTCCACCAACAAGAAGCTTGTGACAGATGTTTCTATGCTTTATGCAAATAGGAACTTCATGGATCAGTTTTCCTTTCCTCCATGGAATATATGCAGCTGGAAAATAGAAATCCAGCTCCACGGCATGAAGGAAAAAAAAAAAAAAAAGAAAAAAAAAGAAAGAAAAGCCACTGACCAAACAGGCAGCCGACCGAGAGAAAGCAAGCGGTACACGTGAAATCAGAATAATTGGACTGCTGGTTCCTAGGATCACTTCTGGGTGTCTTAAGTCAAGCAGTGTTTGCGATGATATGGTTTTTGTGGGCTTTCTCTGTGACTACACTATCGTTCACAAGTCGTTGCTGAAAGATGAAAAAATCTTTCCTGGGTTGTGTGTGCATGATTGCTTCTTCACAAATAATTTTTTTACCATTTCTGACGTGCCGTTTTCATTCTCGCAGTAGTTATGGAGAACTATCTGTATTAGATTTAATATGTAAGTATATTAAAAATAGTGAAGCTGAGCTTGCATATGAAAAAATGATTACAGTTTATATGTTATAAATAGTGTAGAGACATTTATATAAACAGTATGGATTTAGTTATGTTCTTTATAATAGCACAGAAAACTGGATATGTAAAAGTGATTGATGAAAAGAAAATGGAAAATTTCCTTCCTGTTTATTAAAAGAAACAAACCCCCCCAAACTTAGCAATTTAGTGGAGGTTTAAAGGAAATATAGTTTTACAGATTATGATACAGTACAAAAAATTTCTATTTAGTGATTTCTAAAATAGCTTACAATAAGGACAGATTGTTGAATGTTACCTCCTATTACCCTAGAAAAACATGAGAGGTGATCATACGAAATGCTAATGATAAAAAAAGCTAAATTTTAAAATGATTATTAAATAGAATTAATATTGTTCTTTTAAACAGACCTGGTCTTCTTATATTATTTCTAATTTTATATAGTTCTTTTAATATTTCTGTGCAACTAATTTTTATCATAAGACATGGGAAGATGTCTAATGGATTCTTAGTCAGTTTGTCTGTACCTTATTTTCTCAGTGAAGTTTTTCTTGATCTTGTGTATTTTCAATATTTTAAAATCTATTGTGGGTCACAGAAATATTTTTTGGAGATTCTCATTTAGAATTTAATTTTAAATCTGTATCTCATATACTGTAAACACTCAGTTGGGAACTCTGATAATTTCTGTTTCCCCAAAGCCTCGTTTTGTATCATAGTATTGTATAGAATCTTGTCTCGATCTCACGACTAGTCAAAAACTGGGAGGGGATCTTTATCCACTTCAGATGTGCTACAAAGTTTTGTTGAAAAGCCCCTTTCTGTATTTTTTTCTATTAAAATTTATAATAAGCATTAGTGATTTTATGTAGATTTATTTTAATTGAGTTCATTAAAAAAAACATAGCCAAAGATAAAGTGCCAATATCAGGAAAAGAAGAAAGAAAAAGGCTACATGTGTAAATGACTATCTTGCTTAACTGAATCTAATTTAATTGGACAGCAAATAATTAGCAATATGTTTGTATGTATTATACCATGTCTGCTTTTTGCACGTAGCTGTGCAGCTAGTAATGTTCTGCAGGTAAGGTCCTGTTTCAGCTAAGATCTGTATCTGAGGAGTCAAATGCCATCCTAGAATCAAGTATTAATAGAATAAACTTAATTTTAGTTTTTCATAAGTGCAGCTGCATTTTCTATTTAATTATAGGTTCCCACAGTAGTAATTTTTCCGTGACCTGCTCAATCTCAAAAGTCAGAAAATTGCTTCTTTTTTAAAGCTGACAATAGCACGGTATGTTTCCAAAGGAAAAAGACAAATTACAGAAAATCATTACTTTAAGCATATTTAAATAGCCAGGAAGAAATCCTAATTGAAAAGTTTGCTAAAATGAGAAAAACTTAGCGGTACTTTTTTTTTTTTTTTTTTTTTTTTTTTTTTTTTTTTTTTAGAAAAAAATTATCTCATGTTGTTGGTAGCTTTAGAAGCTGCACATGATATCATGCCTTTAATTTCGCTGCTCACCTTCTACGCCCCTTCTTTTCTCTCTGATAAGGTTACACAAAATATTTTTAGGAAGCAAACATTTTAACTGAAGAGGAATTAATTTGTAGATGTGTTTAATGATCTAAATAGATTGTTCTTTGAGAAGGTGATGCAAAGGTGATGGGAATCTTCATATTTCTTTGCATGGGCTTTCCAAGCAGTCTGTGAGCCCGTATTTTCCAGTAGTAGATAGTTTCCCTAGTTTCCAAAGGGGAAATTGCTATTTTAAAAGAATTTTGTAACCATATAATTATTATAATATATGTACAGGTGATATTTATGTTAAAGTTTAACACAATTCAAGTCAATAATTGACTTAGAAATGAGCAACATTAGAGTAATCCTTAAATGAGTATGTACTTTACCAAACACAGCTTGGCTAGTGGGGTGGGAGCGTGACGAAGGCAGTGCCCAGGCCATGGGGCAGCTGTGATCAGGCTCACAGGGCACATCTTTTCCTGAATCCCAAAGCTCTGTGTTTGGGGGAATGTGTGTGGGGGGGTGGATTTATGAATGCTGTGTGCAAAGGCATTATGCAGTATTGGAAGGAAACGGCACTGCTGCTGGCAGGCGAGTAGTCCCAGGATGGGGCTGAAGGATGTCTGCAGCTGCTGGGAGCCAGTCCCCTTTTTGTCCCTGCTGCCATCCAGCAGGGGTTTATTTGAGCAAGGCCATCCACAACATGGCATCACCAGGAGCATCACCATGCCCTCACCTCCTGCATTTCCCCGACAGAGACCTCCTGCACCAGGGGAACACCAGGAAAAAACTTGCACAGCAGCAGCACTGCTATTCTGTTTTCCATGCCCCCTGTTCTGCTGTCTGTGTAGCTGCAAGCTACCAATCATTAACTTCATTACTGCCAGCTAGGGCATTTCTGCCCACAGTTGAAAAGAAAAGAAAAGAAAAGAAAAGAAAAGAAAAGAAAAGAAAAGAAAAGAAAAGAAAAGAAAAGAAAAGAAAAGAAAAGAAAAGAAAAGAAAAGAAAAGAAAAAAGAAAAGAAAAAAATAAAAAAAAAAAGAAAAGAAAATAGGTTTGAAACTCATGACTTGCAAGCTTCTCTCTCCAGATGCATCCTACCTTATTTATGAGGGGAATTGTGGTCCTGCACATGCTGCCATCACTGGACTTTAACTTGGAGCTGAGCTAATGACACCTTGCCTCCCATTGCTCATCATCATCAGGTTTGACCTGTGCAGTGCAGAGCAGCTATCACAGAGCAGAGGGAAAGCAGATGTGGCCGGTGCCATTCACGGGCAGCCCCAGGCCCACATAGGATTTCGGAGGGGCTGGTGCTGGCACAGAAGGTGTGGGCAGTTTGGCAGGAGGAGGGCTGGCTGTGGGGAACAGCCACTAGCATCTCCTCATGGGAGTGATACATCCCCACCTGAAGAAAGCCTTCCCTGGGTCCCTTCTGCTGCCATAAAATACCTGGAAAAGAGTTGCCTGCCTAGGTGGGTAGCCATGGTAATTCATCTCGAGCAGTTTCAGTACGAGATCACAGAAAAAGGTCTTACTCTTTATCAGCTGAAGCCTTCATGCCTTTCCCCATCCCCACGTTCTGCAATTCCCATCATTAAATGACAGTAGCTCTTACAATTAGGCCCAGCCCATGGTCCTGTTAGAGAAAGAGGTGATTAGAGTGATTCTTATCACAAAGACGACGGCCATTAGAGGAGAAATTTGATGTATTTTGTCTTATTTCCATGAACCAACAGGTCAGGTTTACCCAGGTGGCTCTCACTACAAAATACACAGAACAAGCCCGGGAACACTGTTGTCTCTGCACAAATGCTGGGGCAGCTCCATGGTGATAGAAGCAGTTATAACTCTGTCAAAGCTGATTCCAGCTTACAGTCCGTAATGTAATGATCTAATCCAAACCATTTCTGCACAAGGCACTCCATGCTTATTTTTTAGTTTTCTGCTTTTTAAGTTATTGAATTTAAAAAGTTTAAATGTAAATTAACACTTCTATTTTTGGCTCTGGCTATTCACCCAATAAATACATGAGAGAAAAAATGCTATTTTCAGTCCAAACGTTGACCTGTACCTTACGGTGAAAGCACACCCAGGGAAAATGAATGGGCTGGCTTGTAGTATAAGGGCAATTCAAAGCGAACAAGGGGGGCAGGACATCCTCCTCCTCTTGCAGTCATGCTGGCCAGGCTTTCATTTAAAGCCAAATGAACAAATAGGGTAAGTTCACCATACTTGCCTGACACTTTTGCTTTCCACTACTGTGTTTCTTTCTTCACTGGTGTGAAAAGCAGGCATCTATTTATGAGGGAAGGGATTGCACTTTTCTTTCTTTCTTTTTTTTTTTTTTTCTTTTTTTTTAATTTTGTTTTAATTTTTCAGTCATTTATTAATGCTATCTTGTTTTATGACCCACCTGGTCCCATGCCATGCTGATCTAGAGAGCCTTGTTTTCCTGACAGCTGGCTGATCACCAGCACAATCTGATGGAGAACTGGGGGACTCAATGGAAGGACCTTGACCCCCCAGCCAGCCGCTCTTTGTTGGGTGCTTTCAGGCCGAGGCCTGAAAAGACGAAGGCGATTTCTATTTGTCAAAGTGAAGAGACAACAGGAGAAAGAATAAAGAAAATCTTCTAAGCAGTCAGCTGAACTTGTTCAGACTGATACCAGCTTGCGGTATTCAGACGGCAGCTAACCCAAGGTTTCCCTAACCTTGGCAGAAGTGCGGGAAATAGTTGCAGGAGGATGAAGTGTTCTTGAACTGTTTCTCCAGTGTATCAAGCACAAGAAGGCTTTTCTGCAATATTAAGCATGTGCCTCTCTTTTCTTCCCCTTTAAAGAAACTTTTTATTGTAGACTATAAAAGGGGGAAAAAAATCAATATCTGTCTGTTTGCGGACCCCTGTGCTGCTTCTACACTTCCCAAGGACAAAGATGCAAATCAGGACCTCCCCAGTATAATAGCATTTAGAAGGCAAATTACTTTTTAAAGTCTTACACTAAAAGCAAAAGGTTAAAAGAAATAGCTGTACTCAAGTGTCGTTTTAAACAAAAAGGAAAAAAATATTAACCACATTCTTGAAAACATCAGCCAGAGCTTCCCTGGAAGTATCAAAAACAGCATTCCAGATAAAAGCAGCATGATGTGAAAAGACCTGATCAGCAACAGATTGATGTCTGGGCTTGGGGACTAATGTAAGAACTTAAAGACTTGGCTAGAGAATATATCTCGAGAAGCATAAACATATAAGAGGATGCCAAACCATGAAAGGCTTCCTTTGCACTGAGAATTCAGAAATCGGCGTGTTGACAAGCAGGGAAGCCAATGCTGCAAGAAAAGCACACAGGGTGATGAATAAACGCAGCCTTTAGGAGCCTAGGATGAGATTGAGAAAGGGGCCAACCTATTTAGGCACAGCTGGCAGTCTCTACACCCAGCATTTAGGTGCTGTCAAGCCCCAGACCTCTCCTCCCAGCTGCCACCCAGTGCTGCTGGTGCTGGCGTCCCACAGACTGGAGCTGCTGGATTAGATGCTGCCCAGCTGCTCCAAAGCCTTATTCCATGCCACTGTAGCCAGGATGCATCCTCAAAAGTGTATGTGCTGGCTGGCCCTAACACAGGCGCAACCAAGGTCCAAGCTATGTGTGTCACATTGGATGCAACATGCCTGTCACCATACAAGTGGAAAATATCTCTACCTGACTCCTGCACCTGATGGGCATCCTATGTGATTCAGTCTTAGAGCCTTCCAGGAGACTCCATGTGGACCTCTTCCTGTGCACCAGGTGAGAACTCTGGAGGCCATGGGGCCTTTGGCTAGCAGAAAGGGTCGGGGCAGACACATGCCTCCACAACAGCCAGCTCCACCATGGCCTGCACGGAGCTACGGTGGTGGAAAATGAGCTGTAATCCTTCCAGCAACACGCAAAGTGAAGGGACAGGTAAAGACCACATGTTTTTTTGATGTGAGACCTGGTCACCCTTCATCAGCTGGAGGAGTCTCTCTGGGATGCCAGCAGCGAAGCTGTATTCCTCCTCTATGAGAACAAATTACAGTTTTCTTCCAGCTGTGCTTAAAATTGGATAGTTCAATAACTAGCCTAGAAATACATGGCAGATTTACCTATGAGGCAGTTATTAGGGAGCTGGATAGGTCCCAGCTAATGTGCAGGCTGATTTTTTGATGGATAAACTCAGTTTAGAAGTTCAATTTTAAGGAAAAAAAGACATGTTTGCAAAAATATGTGATGTGCTTGTTGTAATCAGGTGGAGAGGAAAAAATAAACTCTACATCTAAAAGAGCAACTTTAGAGTGCAAACCAAAGTAGAGAACTCTGACAACTTTGGCTTTTGCATTTAGCAAACCCTACCACGCAACAGCCCAAGCTAAACTGCCGTTCTCTGGTTTGCTAGAGATCTTGAAAGTCCTTTAAACTTGTTGACTCACTCCACTTTTGCCAGGCCTTCCCACATAAGCACACTGATCCAAACACAATCATCCCTTGAGATGTACTCGTCTTATTGTCAGGTACCTCCTGGAGGCTGAACACCTACCCTGGGAGGATGCCGCTAAGTAATGTGGCACCTCTTCTTCCAGCAAAGCGATTGAGTGTGCAGCTGATGGCTCTCGTTTGTGTTCGGCTGGCAGGGATGGCACCACCAAACTTGAGCTCACTTGTCACAATGGCAATTGAGTGGAATTTAATTATCTGCTGGAGAGAAGCCCTGACAGCTGTGGCGTAGGTTTTTCAGTGTGGATGTTGCCTTGATTGCAAGAAAAATATCAAGGGCTGGTGAGAAAAGCCATGTTCTAAAAGCATCTCTGCCTGGGTTAGACCACTGCCTACCAAAGAGGTATGTGTGATAATCCCAAAGCTATTTATTGACTTTTGTGTCAGATTGTGGTTGGAGTTTGTCTTTACTGAAAGTTGTCCTCAGGAATTCTTTTACTTCATCAGAAGCAACTTTTCTTTTCCAGGCCTTAGGCTGGAGGTGCAGTGTTTGCCCACCACATTGCCTTGGGGTTGCCTCTTGCTTGTGCTTCCCGGAGGAGAGGCAGTGGTTCTGCTGCTTCCTGCTGCCTCCTAAATCAATGCCCTGCTGGCAGGAAAACCATTGTATTGGTGGCAGCATCAGGTAAGACCTCATTGTTTTTTTTACAGCAATGGCTATCACTGATAAACAAACAAACAAAAAAAGGGGAAAAAAAAAGGGAAAAAATGCAAAAATGCAATTGCTTTTTTTTTTTTTTTTTCCTAATGTAGCTTTCCCTTAGCTTGTTAATATTGCTCCTTACACATGGCATCACAACCAGTGTACTGTTTTTTATTTTTACAAGTCTTTTTCTTGTTGGCAAGCAAGGTCTCATATCAGTAGACTTCTAAAGTCACTGACATGCTCTGAGATGCTGAAGGCACTTTTGTAATAATTTTCTTTATAGACTTGCATGAATAAAGGACCCATATTGGGAATAAGAAGCTGCCCTGTTTTGGCATTTTACATTTTTGGGTCAAATCATGAAAGTTGCTGAAATCATACTGGTTTGGCCGTAGCAGCCCACTTTTCACTCTTTCTTTTCAGAGATGATGGGCATTGCTTCATGATGGTTTTCCCCAGGGCTCCCTAATGTAACCACCAGTAGTTTTGATGTGTTTTTGTCAAGCATTGTCCTGCAGTTAGCCACACTGCACCCAGCTTTCCTCTCTGACACGACTGCCTTTGCCTTCAATTTATCTGCGCATTTTCTGCTTCCTGGTGCCATTGCCAGGGGCTAAATTCAGAGGTTAGACACAAAGTTCTTCTTGCAGTCTATATGTTTTTCACTCATTCAGTATTCCCTAGGCACACACGAGCTCATGTTTTCTACACTAAAAAAAAAATATTAAAAAAAATAAAAAGCAGCCCTTCTGAAATACTGTATCTTCTGTATTAAGACAGGAGCCAGAACAAGGCGCAGCTTAGTGCAGAGTGAGAGTCGGCCGGGTGCTTACTTGCTGCCTGACCACCCCACAGGTTGGGACTGGGTGATCTTTCAGGTCCCTTCCAACCCGAACCATTCCATGGTTCTGTGATCAGTGATGCTGGTTTGTGCTTGGAACAGATCTCCCTCCATGCCCAGGCATCGCTGCCCCTGTCACTTGCCTCCCCTGTTGCGGCAAGGGCAGCGGGAGGGCCCGTTTGGGAAAGAGCCTCAGGAAAGCCTTTCTTCCCCCAGAAGAGCCTGTGAGCTGTAATGTGTTTATATCAAGCACTGGAAGCCCTTGCTGACTGCTGTTAGGATTAGGGGAAAAAATATTTGGAAATTCTGGAGTTAAATCTCTTTAAGTTGCACAAAGATAATACTTAATAAACATGAATACATGGTAGGGCTTTTTTTTTTTTTTTTTTTTTTTTTTTTCTTTCCCCATCTTCTTTATATGACTTATAGACTTACAAGCTTTTATCTTATTTTATGAGGCCATGTGAAATAAATTAAATGTAACACAAGATGCTGTTAAAAAAGATTTTATGACATCAAGAACTGGTTCTATATTAGGACCAGATCCTACAAAGACTTATGCATGTGAGTTATTTTGCTCCCATAGATAAGCTATTGAATCAAGCATGGCTAACCATTTAAATTTTCAGAATCAGGCCCTCATTTTGGAAGCTCTTATCATTGTTAAATCAATGTGAAAGTGAAATCTGTCTCCTCTCAAAAGGAAATTGCCAAGACTTTCTACACGGAGATTTGGGATCTGTAGAAAATGAAGCCTTTTTATTTTTTCTTCCCTCCAATAATCTGTTCAGTGAACAAGCTGTGAAAAATAGTTCTATATTTTTTCCATGTGATGCAGCAGACGGTAAATTTCCATTTAAAAGAATGATCAGAGTAGCTGCTGGCACTGAACTCTGTTGTCTTAGTCAAATCTACTTACAAAGAGTTTACAGCAATACAATAGTTTATTATTTCACTCAACCAGAAATCAGATGAAAAAGGCAAAGGGGAAGCCTGAAGTAGGTTCATGGTCAGAATTCTTTTCTTTCTTAACATCTTGTTTTTTTAAATGCAGGACTTGAGATCAGTAGTTTTATGTGTAAGGAGGAGAATATTTCTTTTCACCTCTACTTTTGTATGCCGTGAAATAATCAGACTTCACACTTCTATAGTGCCTTTCTTCTGGGGATCTGAAAGCACTTTACAAACATTAATTAAAGTCTCACAACACCCATGTGGAGGTAAAGCAGCATTGTTTGTACATCTAATGCAGAATGCTTAACCTGATTCTTTAAGTACTATACAAGGACTACAGTAAAATAATGGAATATCCAAAGCAAATTAATCTAACTGAATTGCTAGCAGTGTATGTATGCTTATATATATATATGTATGTGCATGCATGTGTATATGTCTGCAGATTTATATATATATATATATTGTTGTATGCCTCATCCTACATTTCATCTGCCCTGTGTATTCTGTCCATTGCTGTCTCAGGTGATACTGTGAGTACTGCTGAATCTCTCTGCGTGATCTTTCAGTTCCATCCATAAATTGATTTCTTCTGTAAAACCTGGGATAATCTCCCATCATTACTGATTAGACTGGGACTACTTTTAAAAATTAAAAAGAAAGAAAGAAAGAAAGAAAGAAAGAAAGAAAGAAAGAAAGAAAGAAAGAAAGAAAGAAAGAAAGAAAGAAAGAAAGAAAGAAAGAAAGAAAGAAAGAAAGAAAGAAAGAAAGAAAGAAAGAAAGAAGGAAAGAAAGAAGAAGAAGAAAGAAAAAAAAAGAAAGAAAGCAAGAAGAAAGAAGAAAGAAGAAGCACGTCCCGAAAGAAAGACACCCCCCAGAAATCCAGCCAGACCGACAGAAGGAAGAACGAACAGACAGCACTAAAGGACAGAAACGCCAGCCCATCCCCGAAGCAAGCAAGAAAGAACGACAGAAAAAAAGAAAGAAACGCAACTCCCCCGAAGAAAGAAAGAACGAAGAAAGAAAGAAAGAAAAAGAAAGAAAGAAAGAAAGAAAGAAAGAAAGAAAGAAAGAAATATCCTTTTTCTTGAAAAGCAAAATGAGCCCGGATGGTGCTCGCTTTCCTCAGCCCTAGTCCCATGCTCTCTTGCAATTTAAAAATGCTTCTGGGTCACCAGCATTAGATTGGTTTCTTAATCTTCATGTCTTCTTTCTGCAAACTTTGCTTTCTTCGTTTGTTTGCCTCATGTAGTCTCAGATCTTTAGCACAGAGATCGCGCCTTTTATCTTCGTGAAGTGTCATGCAAAATTATGGTGGTGCATAAATATTTAATAATAATATTAGCAATGGGGATTAGAGTCCTGGAGGAACATGTTTCCTCCCTTGCAAGAGGCAGAACATATAATGGGGGACTTGTGCTCTTTCACTGCCGTGGGATGAGTTTCTTTGCTCCCATTTTCCAGTTGTCACTCTTGTCTTCTTGATGGGGCTATTGGGACATACTGGACGAGACTGGGAATGTCTTGGTTAGTGCTGGGCGAAGGACTGCTCATGCTGGTGGCCTGATTGAGCCTCAGAAAGAAACTCAACTAAAATACGTTTCCTTATTTTCTGGTTAGTGAAATGAAAACCTAGGGAAGCAGTCATACCTTCTGACACCTGTCCTATGGCCTTAACTATCTCTATTTGGAAGGAAAATTGAATGCAACTTCAAGTAATCTCAAAATCATGTTTTGTGACAGGAAATTGAAACGTCTCATCAAGAAAACATCCCAACAAAAGTGCAGTGCCTTTCCCAAAACTCTCATTTTTGGACAGTGCCTGTTGTCTCCTGCAATCCCCATTGTAGTGCCACTAGAAGGATGTCCCATGGATGGAGGTGGCCAGAGACTGTGCTGTGGGACATGGGTGCACCTTGGGGGAGGGGATCAGGCACGCAGAGCTCCAGGCTAACAGCTAAACCCCTGCAGCACTTGTATCATACAAGGGCCCTTCACAAAAATGTTTTCCTTTAGCTGGGGATAAGCTTCATCTCTCAAGGGTCCTTCAGGAGTGAAGTACAGGGAGAAATCCACTTTTATTTTACATTTCAACAATAATCTTCTTACCACCATGCAGAGGAGCAATGTCAACAGCCTGCTGCAGGAAGGAGCCCAGCCACTGCTGCTACGGGAACATCCAGGGGTGCTCCACCAGGGGACAGACACAACCTTGGGAGCTGCCTTGGGGGCTGGAGGGACTCCGGGGCAGTACCATGGTAGGAGGGCTGCCAGCAGCTTGGGGCTGTCCCCAGTTCACAGCTTGTCTGTCCTCACTTCCTCCCTCTGAGCAGCTCAGATGCCCAAGCGGCTTGGCTCTCTAACTGGATCCATTTTCTAGGAGGGGGTTTATTGCCGTACCTTACTTAAATCTGAAGTTTTCTAATGATTGTAGCCAATAACAATTAATTTAACATAATTAAGGCAAATATACACATCCAATTGCCAAGCACAACATTTTTCTCATTCATTTATGACTTAATAGACATCAGTGTATATGTTCAGTCTTTACTAATTGCACAGTTGATAATTCTTTATGACTTAGAGGAGTTCAACATTTTCTGTCTTTACTTGACTGGCTGCACCCTCTTAGCATAATCATAGTCTTAATTTTGTTTAACTTATGCTAAAGCAAAATATGAATCTAAACCACAGGAGGCAAATAAAAACACGTCATTGTACAGTTCGCTACATTTTATAAAACCATTTTACAACGGGAGCCATCCACCCGTTCTGTTCAATGGAATAAATGGGATCTAACCACGCTTTAAGGACCGCGCTCATCTTTAAACTGATTAGTTTCTACCCTTATTACAAAGCACAGACTGGGTCTAACATCTCATTTTATATACAATTAAACAGGCGAGCCCTGCTGCCTCCAGCACAGTCATTGCCTTGTCATTATTTACCTTGCTGGCTTGGAGTAGGATGCCTGGGCTGCAGGCAGGATCTGCCCAAAGGGGATGCCCTAGGGACGTGGTGCTATGGCAGGGAGAGGGGCATCCTCCTGCTCCCTGCACCCAGCTGGGGATGCATTCCCCTTGGCACCAGGCAGTGGGAAAGGAGCCAGCACCTTAACCCAGGGCTGAATTTGGGTGGCCGGTACCTGGTCAGGGCCTGACCAGTACGGGTCGCTGCTGCTCCCACTGCGCTGTGGGGATGCCAGACCTGCCCTGTGTGAGGTGCCTGCCTTCCCCTGCAAAACTGCACCACAAAAAAGGTGAGTCTGAAATGTAGCACTTTGACTGAGACAAGATAGATGTAATTTCCTATGCACAAGGAAAAGGTCAAATTTACATATTATTTTTTTTTGCCATTTCTGAAGCTCCCCTCTGCTTGCCCAGAACACCCCAGACACTTCCCCAGAAGAGGCAATGAATAAATGTAATGCAGAAACAACAAACAAACAAGCAAACAAAGAAGCAAAAAAAACCAAACCAAACCAAAAAAAAAAAAACAAAACCAAAAAAACCAACAAAGTTAAAAAAAAAAAAACAAAACTCAGACAGTTTTGCCCCCCATAGACAAGCAGTGCCAAGCAAGATAGCCCCACCAGCCTCCTGCCGGGGGTCCCAAAATGCCTCCCCCAGCGGCTGGGGGCCCCTGCCCCGATCCCTGCTAGGCAGGGACAAAGCCCCTGTGGCACAGGGCTGGTGGGGCCAGATCCTGCTTGCTTCTGGCAGCCTGGTTAAAAACACGCAGGGCTTAAAGCAGGCACGGAGCGGGCAAGGTGAGCGAGCAGCAGGTCTCTGCTCCCGGGGCCAGGTTTCTTTCTCTCTGGCTCCTTCTCCTCCTCTCCTTCTCTGTCTTTTTTTTTTTTTTGGACATCGTGTTTAACACTTGCACAATTTGGTGAAATTACAAGCCCGAGAGGACAGAGGGAGAAGCCAGTCTGTTTAAAAAATAAAAAGAGGACATGATTACTTTGCCGAAGCTGTACTTTATATTTTATCTTCCAAAAGAGACAAAGGGAATAAATACTTAAAACCCAGTGGTGACGACAGTGAAGCAATCATGCAGTCGCTGGATACCTTTGTCTCGGGGAGGCATGTAGTCATTTTTACATGTCTGCCACTGCGTGTCAAACCTTTCTTTTCTTCCCCTTTCCATTTTGGATGGCCAAACTGATTATCTAAAATAGAAAATTAGCACACAATGGCTTTACTCTGTGATACCCCTTATGCAACTAATGGGCAAAGCTTGTTAATTGGTTGTAAATGCCAGCAGGTTGCCAAGATAATACTTCAGAAATAAGCGGGTATTCTGATAATTACAGCAATCTTCATCTATAAAAGCTTAAGTAGATGAAGTACTGGCTGGCTTAAAACCAAGATTTATCCCGCTGCACTCGCATTAAAAGAAAAAATAAGATGAAAACAATAATGTAGCAAAACAATTATATAGCAGGAAGCGTTGTAGGTTTTAGAGATTGTGAAAACTCAGAAAGTAAAACAGTGCTGTAATAACCAGTTATGGAAAAATAGGCCATTTACATTTGTGTATAATTAAATAGTAGGCTATGCAATTTCACTTTTTAAAGTAAACTGCCTTTTCCTTTTTTTATAGGGCAACGTAGCCATAATTGCTGCATTAAAGCTTTAATGAAAGAAAAAAGCAGCAGATCAAGATGACATGTAACATCCACATTTGTACCGTGGCATTCTGCTTGTTTAGTAATGGGAAGCTACTGAGGAGATTAAAATTGCAGAATTCTTCCTATTTTTTTTTCCCCTCTAAAATTGCTATAGGAAGATCATTCAAAGTCTAAAATACATACAATTTATTTTTCTACCTTCAATTCACAAGGATTTAATGGCTTTCCTTACTCTGAAAGTGTTTTAAGAAATACTTTCTTGCAAAAGCGCGGTATTATTCCAGCTCATCACAATTATCAGAAGTAAGTGGCGCAAACTTACGGAGGGCTCACCTCTCATTTTAGAATATAACTGCAAATGCTGCACATCATTATTTTTTAACTTAGTGGTGCTTTGCAGCTTTCCTGTCAGAATTATCAACAGGTTGACATATAATATTGTTATTTGGAGTTTTGATACCTTTCCTGTTAACTGTTACAAACGAGTTGCGAGCTGCCCTAACGCTGGGCTCAGCCAAGGCAAAGCTTTGTGATAAGGGTGCAGCCCTCGAAGCGAATGCTCACCAACAGAATTAAGATGTGAGCTGATACTGGCAGAGGAGAAAGCCGTGTTGTTATTTTAGTACTTGGACGTGGGCACGCTCTTGTGGCAGTTTGCTCACCCAGTATGGGACTGAATGGAAATGCCTTCCCCATGCACGGTCGCACAACACCAGCCTGAAGACTTCCCCCACACCTCACCACTACAAAAACCAAGAAGAGCCCATCGGGTGACTGAGGACAGTTCACTGGTGAGCCAAGCCCTTAAGTTTCAGCACAGAAGCTCATTGCGTTGTCTTGCCTCGAGCCCCAGTGCTGGGGGAGTGGGTGGTAGGTGCTGCCTGCCCCTGTACTGGCCTCTCCCTACCAGTACATAATACATGGGGCCAGGCGGCTCGCCGGGCTCCCTTAATGGACCCAGCTCCCTTGTCTTCCAGGAGCAAAATAAATGGGAGACTTTCTCGGCTGGCATGTATTTCCATTTATGCTTTAAAAATTCATGAGCATAGGTTTCATACGACGGTGTAGTTACTATGGTAATTGTTTATTAATCTGGAGGAGCTTGGTAATTACCACAGATCAGTTTATATAACTCAGACCTGGAGTTGAAGTGCGGGTATGATTTCTTTACGCATCCATCTTTTAGACACTTTTTTCAACTTTTTTTTTTTTTTTTTATAACAGAATATGCATTTTCCCCTCTCAGCTCTACTTTTATCCAAGTGCATACATTTCTGGAAGTGTAGAGAGAGTGTAAAAATGAGAGAGAAATGCTCGCTCGGAGTTGGCAGGCCAGGACAGCCAGGAAAAAAAAAAAAAAGTGCGGAGTTAAGAAGCAGGTGCTTCGGGGATTTTTTTTAATTTAAAAAAAGTTTTTTTTGTTGCTTTAATTTTTTCACGGTGGCAGGGCTCTTTCCTGGAAGGGCAGCAAGGGGCAGAGGACAGTATGTGGCCAGGCGGGGAGCAGGGGACTGTAGGAGCCTGGCCCTGTGCCCCCATCCCATGCAGATGTGATGGATGCACTGCCCCTCGCTGAGGTGGTGGCATGCCAAGGGTATCTGCTCAGGTACATGCTTGTGAAACTTAATCTGGAAACAGAGCTTGCACAATCAAAAATTAATTAGTAATGGCTTTTTCAGATAGGCATCACCAACCACTTTGCAAGGTAGTGTCTTTACGGTGGACACTTCAGGGATGCTGTCTGGAAATCCATAAAATGATACCGCTATTTTTTGAGGAACTTTTTTCATTTATCTAGCAGTTCTTTTCAGAGAGTGAAAATGTTGACCTGTAAAACCTGTGTACATTTTTTGCCTGTTTCTGCTCTCACTTGGACAAAATTGGGCACTGCCAGCCTGCTCTGTAACAAAATTGTAGGAAGACCCTTGGGCCTTCTGCCTGCCCACGACCCCTCCACGCCTGTCCCAGCCCCGCTCCTCTGATGGCAGTGCCCAGCCTCAGCTCACTGAGATTCACATTATTTATATGAAAAAGGCGCAGGATGCCATCTCCCCACTCACTCTGCCTGCATAAATTGCGCGTGTTTATTATTCATTGTAACACGGCACATTCTCTGTTTCTGTGTCACTTGTCACTAATCACTTATGCATCTGATGTGCGGATCCAGAGCTGGTTCTCAAGCATTCTTGGCTTCGAAACATAAGATATGCATGGGTAAGAGTTTATCCCACCCCCAAAATAACAACTTTGATACATTTTCAAAAGGGAAAGTGCATATGTTACAGTACTCAGGAGCAGCAATAACCAAACTAGCTGAGAAGTGACATGGACTTGGGTTATTTTCTTTTTTTTTTTTCTTTTCTTTTTTTTTTCTTTTCTTTTTTTTTTTTTTTTTTTTTGGTTTCTCTTTAGTATTTCATGAAAGTGTGTAAAAATCTTAACATTTGAATGCCACACACTTCATTCTGCCTGCGAGATAAAGGACATTTCTCTAAAAGAAACATACGCTCCTTGTTCCTTGTTTTGATTCCTCGTACAGCTTGTCACAATGCATTTACATTTTGTCCATACATTCGTTTTTTTTCAGCCGGAGCTGTGCTTTTGAGGAAGGGATGCAAACTCTTCTCCTCGAGTGTCCCAGGCAGCCAGCAGTGGGGCTGCCTGTGGGCTGGGGCATGTGTGGGACGTGCTTTTCTGGCACCTCTCTCCCCGGTCCCATCTCGCTTTCTTCACAGGCAGCCTCCAAACCTACGGAAACCACCTGCCAAAGCTCAGTGGATGGGGGCACTTCGTCTGCCCCACACATCACCTCCTGCCAGCCCTGCAGCCTGGCCAGCCAGTGGGCAATGCCAGCGACCACTCTTCCCTGCCCAGATCTGCTCGGGGAAGCTCTGCGAGAAGGCTGGCAGCCCTATAGCACTCGTGCTAGGGCTCTGACCTCTTTTCTGCCACCTTGCAGAGCTGGGGGAGCAGTCACAGTGGTGGCAGAGCCCATCTTGCTGTGATGAACCTGGTGCCTACAAACAGTGATGGAGCCCCCTACACGGTCAAAGGGTTTCAGCTCCTCCCTATGGTGTTTGTGTCATATCTGGCATTTGAGACACAGCTGTGCCATGTTGTGTGTTGGCCTGCTACTCCCCCTCCTTACAGCAACCCAGGATATCAAATCTGTGAGGTTGGCCTGGCCGCATGGGCAGGCAGCATGCCTATCAGCCAGCAGAGCAGGAGCCTGATCACACTACGCCCACCACAGTAGTAATTCCCGTGGCAATACTGAAGAAGAAGTCAGGAAACTGGTCAAGCTGTCCGATGCGAACATTTTATCCTCTCTACAAGACTGCTGAAAGAGTGAAATGCATCCAAAGAAGTTTTATCTGAGGAGGTAATTCTAATTGTTCCCTGTTCTGCTGTTATCTGATGGGAACACTCTCGGCAGCGACCTCCTTACTGAGTGAAGTAAGCCCTACACAACACCAGAGAGGCAGCTTGAAATTAGGATACAGAAAACTGATGCCAAAAATATGTCAGCTTGGAAGGTCATTAAGAATTATCCATTTGTGCATGTTGCATTGTGCATGCCAACAGTACCTTAAGTGATTACCTTAGAGGGACAGATTTGTCTAATGAACATATGAATTACCAATATAAAATTGTGATTGATAAATCAAATAAGAATTTATAATTTGGCAATGTATCTAACCGGGATGGAGTTTCACTGGATGTGGATGCAAGAGGCGCCGCTGGTGTTCTTTGCTAAAAATGACTCTCGGTGGTATTTTTCCACTTTATGACACCACAGCTTTAGGTGCCTGATCTGAGAGCTAGCTTGCTCGTACCTCAGGCAGATACAACTTGTTCTAAAGAGCTTGACTCACAGTTTCCAGGAGTGTTTTTTTTTTTTTTAAACCTCTCTGCCCACACCTTCATTGATTTTATTTTTTAAGCTCAGCTTAGAAATTAGCCTGGACTGGTACTGGCATACAAATGCTTCGTTTTTAAACTATGTAATAATTGGCATAATTTGGGTTATTTTCAAATTTAGGAACTCAGATAAAAGCAGCTGACATTTAGCTCTGCTTTTCTGCACTGACATAGTTCACGAAGGAGTTTGATTTTTTTTTTCTATGAAAGTTAGGCTACATTAGTAGTTTACTCAGTTGGCAATGGCATTTCCTACTCACAGAATTTAAAAAGTCTAGGAGAATAACAGGTTTAGGTTTAAAAAAATGCCTTGTACAGGTGGGCTTTTATTTTTTTTTCCAAAGCTTTAGAGTCCTATTGGATATGACCAATGCAATATACACATCGTGATTTTAATTAAGCTGTTACTAGCAGGTGTACTTCATGTAACATTTACAATAAATTCTTAGTGACTCCTTACAGCACTGCTGTCTTCTTGGCTTGTTAGGCTCAGGGCAGTCCCAGTGCATGTGAGCAACAACAAAAATTTTTGGTAGCAGCTCCTGTTGGAGCTACTACCATCTAGCACTTGTCAAACTGCACACTAGAGATCCTGACAATAAGAAAGTACCAAAGGAATTGTTACGTTTCATTACTCTGTGTGATCAATGCCTCCTTGTGTGCTAATGAACCAAAGCTAGGTCATAATTGCTTTTAAAGATAAAATTATTTAGGATTTCTTTGATTTGATATAAAGGAGAAACTTCGGTCTGTCAGGTCTGTGATGCATTGAGCACCCTGTCTCTTGCACATTCAGAATTGCCATAGTAAAACCTGCTGTTTATCTGAGGTGGAAATTTCAAAGGTGTTAATGTTGGAGCATGCTATAAAATGGGTTGTGTGGTCACAAAATGCACAAAATCAGTTACTGAAGCCCTGCCCATTGTGAGGCCAGACGGAAACCATGCTGGCCCGTGGCCCCCTGGTGCATCCATGGCTGGGAACCATGGCCTGGAAACGCGCCTGCACCAGGAGCCAGCCCTGTGACTCCTGTGGCTCCTCCTGGCCTTGGCCAAACCTCCTTCAGCAGGCTGTACCACTGCTTTTTGGTAGCACTGTGGGATGTCTCTGTGGCTGGAAACCAGCCACCTCTGGTTTCTCCATCCTGCCATCTCCAGCCTGCTGCAGGTGAGGGAGCTCTGCTGCCCTGCAAAAGTACCACATCCATGGCACTTCCTAATTCATCACATGCTGTCTTTAAAGTGAGAAAATGCCCCACAAGAATAAATATGAAAGTAAATGCACTGATGTTTGGGACTATAACCAGAAAACAGAGCATTGGGACTCAAAAACAGATGTCATTGTGTCTGTGGACTGTACAGATAACATAACAATACCACATTGTACAGAGTGCTCTGTGATGCGTAGGGTTACGAGGGGAGTGAAGGGGCATGGGAGCCCATGAGACCTGGTCCATCACAGCCATGTGTTCAAGGTCTCCACTGGAGACCACAAAGGAAAACCAGGTAAAAATGTAAAGGACAGCGTTTCACCAGGTGATGCAGAATTTTCCTTGTCATCACCTTTGGCACTGATGAAATCCATGAGAAAGTGCTTTGAGGGTGCTGGCAGGAGGCCACCATACAGTTGCCCTAGTACGCAACGGGTGGGTGGGAGGTGGCAAGACCAAACAGGTCAGCTCATAAATGAAATCAGAGCCTCACGAGTAAGCTATGGGCAGCTCCCTTGGAGCAAGAGAGGACCCAGCTGTTATTGCTGAGCTAGCGTGCTTTGCACACACATAGGAAGAGTTCTGTTAAACGGATGACACCCTTTATATATATTCATAACACCGAATTTCATAGCTAAGTTTATCAGTGGCTCCCCACAGAGACACCATGTGTGGGAGATGTTGTTTTGCCCCTGCAGTTGTACCCAGGACCTGGCTGCCACCAGCGCTGGTACACCAAGGGTGCTGCAAGAGCACTGCAAGGGCATTGCACGGACATTGCAAGGGTGTCGCAAGGGCAGCGGGGACCTCACATCTGCTGGCCTGAGGAGCAGCTCAGGTCCCTCGCCACCCCCCTGGCTGTGTTCACACCCCCTCTCGATGGAAAGGGCAGCTTTGTGGCCGGCAGGAGCGGGGTTGAGGAGGGGCGCGGGATGCAGGCCCGCGTCTCCGCCAGTCCCAGGGAGGCTGCAGAGCAAAGCATGACACAACCCCTTAGACATTTAGGGAGGGGGCACGTTATTTTAATATCCTTTTTTGTGCTTAATAGAAAAGGGGTTTGTGGTTGATTCTTTATTATCTCCGACAGCAGTTCTCGCTTCGGCTCCTCTTTCTTTAACTGCCAAGCTAGCATTTTCCTTTTTTATTGCTCCTTTCTTAGAGGTTTGCTTTGGACTATTGCCAGTTATCATTTCCCATTAGGGCAAATATTGCATCAAACTCATGATTAGGGATTTGAGGGCTTGGGAATATTATTTTCGAACATTTGTCTTTCATTTTCTGAGAGTTTTTTTTTTTTCTCCTCTCTTTGCACACACACATACGCACTCATGCCTGTATATCTGGGGATGTACATATGTGTGTGTATTTTTATAGAGAGGGAGAAAGAGGGAGCTTCATGCATCTGATTGCACATGTATGTTTCCGTGGAGGCATGTGCCTGTTTGTGCGTAAAGTTTTAACCCCCCTTGCCCAGGCCAAGGGAGGCTCTTTCCTCATGAGGGATTTCCGAGGAAGCTGAAGGCACCCACGGAAGGAGGATGACAGATTTGTTTGTGTGTGCTGGGCTCAGTGCTCCAGCTCCGCGCAAGGGAAGGTGCTAACGCATGCTGTCAGCGGGGAGGGGACGGCACGGCGAGGAGCTGCTGCAAGTGTCACTGCCCTTGTGGAGCCGGGCAGCAATGCTGCCTGTGCCTGAGCCTGCCTTCTGCCATGCCACATGCACTGCTGTGGGCTTCAGGGAGCCTGGAGTTTGGCTCTATCAATCTCCAGCATTCAGGCACCGCTGTGATCTTCAAAAGCCTGTCCAGCTGCTGCCTGCTCTCCTGATGCTGGCTCACAAAACACAACACCCATTTTTGGTACCTCATTTAGGGGAGGATTTTTTGAGGAATACTTTTTTTTTTTTTTTTCTGGAGAAACTTTGCTCACATCCTGGTCTGGGGGCAGCTGATGTGGTTGGCCTGGGGGTTGGAGGTGATGCTCTGGGAATGAGGCCGGACACATCCTCCACATCCTCCATGTCAGGTCGCTTATCCCTGCATACCAGTTCTTGCAGCTGTTAACGAGGGGAACGGATTTTCTTGGCCTCCTCTCATACCGAGTGCTGCAGCTCTGATTAACCAGGGCCCATGGCCTTATTGCTGCTTACAGATAAGTTGGATTTCAGCAGCTGGCAGTGGAGAGGTGAGCACATTCATCTTGGTAAAAATCACCTGGTGGGGAAGTTTTATACAGCAGGTGCAAAGCAACACCAGCAGTATCCAGAGCACAGGGTGGGCTGGGGATAGGCTCGGCCCGTGGAGGATGGTGGGGAGGCTGGAGGGCAGCGGGACGAGGTGGGCTGGGGCACTCCCAGCCCGCGCAGATCGCCACCAGGCTCCCAAACACATACATTTCCAGGCAGCCAAGTTGTCTGCCTCCAAAAAAAAATTATTCTTCAAGGCTTGTTCCCATCTGCCAGAAGAGAACATGTCATTTAAGAAAAAAACAGAAACCAAAAAACAAAACAAACAAACAACACTAACGTTGACAGACAGGAGTGTGTTCTGGAGAAAAGCCCTCTGCTTTTACCTGATTCGGGCGACGGCACTGAGTGGCAAGACAGCCTTGTCATCCACATGCTTTATTAACAGTCAGCTTTTCATCTTGCTTCTCCCTGGCAAGATGACGAATATTTTTCCCTTTACTCACTGTTCACCCTTTCATTCTTCTGACAAATACCGCACTTACTTCATTTAAATTTTGCAAAACTGAGCCCAGGCGAAATGATTCAGTCATTGTGCAGATGAAAGACAATGTCACCTCTATTCCTGCTGGTATGACAATGGCTGTGAGTTAAAATCACTGCATGATGGTGATAGTAGTTCCTGTCATCATTTCTGCCGATGATAAACCCAACTGTATATTTCCAGTTTGGCCCTGCTGCTTCTGCCCTCCCTTCCTAAAAATAGTCATGGTCCCCACATGTGGAAACTTGGTGTTGCGAGAAGGTGCAGCAAGCTCCCAGTTATTTCAGCAAGCTTAAAGTGATTAAGGGAGGTGGATAGTTAATTAGAATATTCTAAAAACAGCTGCTAAAAAAAAAAAAAAAGTTTCAAACAGCCACCAACTTGTTATTATTTCGTCATCGTCTCATGACACGCTCGCGACATATGGGAGAAATAAGAGATGCAATGCCCATCCCTGCCGTCCCTGCCACTCTTTTCTTCTAGTCCCGTAAAAAAGTATATACTAATCCCTTCACGAGGCTTTCCCAGTGCTTCTCCTGGACAGAATATCCATATTATTTCAATATCTCCTCTTAACTTTGTATAACAGTGGCCAGCTTAACTTTATAGCACTTCTTTTTATAGAGTAGCATTCATTTCTTGTACCAACTCTCAAGGATGTTTTATCTGTTTTATATCTCATTGAATCCTCTGTGAAACTGCACTAGTTTACAATAATTTTATTACTTTATTAATTAAACGTTTTCCAACAAGCTAGCTATGGCATTTCTTATCATCAAGGGTTCCATTAGTTTTTAATGGTGTGAGACAAAATTACCATTTACCCACATGCAATTTAAGAAGCATCATTAACACAGTGAAAGCACCAGGTGGGATTTCTAATAGTTACTGTTTCTCATTTTTGTTTTTATTTAAAAGGAATAACCGGTTTTGAGGTTTTTGCTGCAAGGTTGCCAAATCCTCACTTTGTTTTTATGTTCGAGATAATTTAAAATAATGTTCCTCTGTCTCCTAAGGCTCTGCTCAACGATATCTCACGTTTCAGCACATCACTTGTACGCAGTGTCTCGGCACAGCCGGGTGAGTGTGTTGTCTGCACAATAATCACCAAGAACAAAGACTCATCTATATGGCCACCAAGCACGGGGGCATGCGTGGACCTGCTTGTGTGCACACTTGTGCGTGTGTGTGCCTAGGGGAACGGGTCTGCAGAGCCACGGCAAGCCTCAAACCCCAGCCAGATGCCACCTTGTGTGGCCTGGGCCCTGAAGGTTGTGGCCACCAGCATTAACAGAGACCCCGTCCCCAGCACAGGGAGATGATTCGGAGGGGCCCGGCTGCACAGGGGACAACCAGCAGGGTTCAAGTTTTTGGGAGACTTTGAGGCAGGCCCTCTGCGCAGATACCTTATTTCCATGCAGGAGACAATGGAAAAAACCATGGTTGTGGTAAATATTTACCTTTATCAAAATGGGAATAATTAAATGGCAACTTAATTACTACATTCTATTCAAATATGCGGAGTGTTGACTAATTGCTGACTCAGTCCATTTGCATGTTAATAAATGCCTGTATTTGAGGTCCTTCTTGGGTAATTCTCTAGGTTTTACAACACAGAGTTGCTGGGCTTTTTTCCTCCTACGTCTCATAGCCCTTGCTTAGCCCTGTCATTCTGCAGCACCGAGGTGGCCGCTGTTGGTGTTGGCCACCTTGCCCTTCCTTCTACTGGGTCTGCTGCTTGTCGCGGGTGTTCCCAGTGGGACCAGAGGCCCCATCCATGCCCGCCCTGTCTGGGATGCCCAGCCACCCCACAGCAGCAGCCCCAGTGCCCCACAGGCATCGGGGGCATCTGCAGTGTGTCCAAGGCACCACAGCGCTGCGCGGGGCCCAGATGGTGCACGATCCCACGAAGCGCAGGAGGGATATTCAGAGGGATGTGTTTGACAAGGTGTTTCCTTATTTAAAGGGGAGGGGAGGAGAACGCAGATGGCGTGGCTGCTTCTAATGACATTCCCTGGCTGGGTTTGCTAGCAGCAGACATGAGAGGGGCAGGAGCACCTGACATGCCGGTCTGCTCGGCTGCCGGCAGGGATGGGGACGCTGGCAGAGCCGTCCCCACTGCCATCCCTCAGCCATCCTACCATTGGTTTGATTTCCCAGGGTGCTCAGGAGAGGCTGGTGCACCGGTGTCAGTGCAGGGAAACAGCTTTTTTTATTTTTTTTTTTACACAAATCTCCCATGGCATTGGACTGGTGTGTGCTGGCATAGCCGCGCAGCCTCCCAGGGACCTGCAGGGTAAAGCTTGGTGTGTGGGGGGCACAAACTGGGGTTTCCTCTAGGAGGTTTTTCAGCATGCTACAATTGACAGCAATCTGGTATTTTTATGGCCAGAATCGTCTATCAAAATAGAAACAAATTTTGCATTTTCTAAGTGGGCAGATAATTGTTCCATGACGAAGAGAGTAAATATGTGCACAGTAATAGCCTGTGCCTCAAACGCACGCTGAACTGAACTTCTGGTCATATAAATTTCTAATTAATTTGCTTGTGCAACCCATGGAACAAAAGCTCTGATTACACATTAGAGCGAAAGGTGCACAAACACCCACCCTGCTGCTTGCCCGCACAGAGGGGCTTGTGCAGCAGGACGGGCACCTCCGGAGCCTGGGGACGTGGGGATGGTGCCCGCCAGCAAGGTGGCGGTGGCCGTGCCAGGCTGGCGGTGGCTGGCACATTATGCTAATGGCCCAATCATTATTTATTCCTCTGGAATTCATTACGGTGGCATTATCTGGGATCGGCTCATTGAGCGTCACAGGCCCGTCCATAGGATTTTTAGCATGACCTCATTAATAACGAATGGCTCTGCCTTGAAGCAGTGCTGTGCCCTGGATTTTAAGGAAGCTTTTGGAGGGCTGGTCAGGCTGTAGCAGAGCTCCCCGATAGCTGGGTGGGATTGCACAGTGACTGCTCCAGATTTGGATCCATTCTGATTAATTTTCTTTTCATGACAGCAGCTTGGAGCTGACTCCTCCATCAAAAACAAAGTTCAGCACTGCTACTGTCTAAAGCAAGTAAAACCTTCAGCAACCTTTTTTGGATAATTCTCAGGTTTTGATAATTAACAATATCATTTGGTATTGTAAAGCTGTTCATGAGAAGAAAATCATGACTGGCAGAAATCCTTCTCTATTTAAAATTGACTGTTTTGTTTGAACGGTGCACTTTTTCAAAAACATTCACTTTTATTTAGTTATTTTTTTTTCCCCCTGAAGTTCCCAGTAATATTTAAAAAATCATTGTATCTTGAAAGCACGTTTTGAATGTCCCTCATCCCGGCAGCATCTCAAGGCAGCTCCTCTCACAAAGGAGGCCGGCAGGGGCTGGCTTTCCCCGGTCCAAAACAGCTCTGCCTGTTATATCCCAGCAGCTCTGATGTCCCCCTGAAGCCAATGGGAAACTGCAGCCTCTGTCCTTGCACCTCCCCACAGCATTGAATTTGCTGCCAAACTTCTGAGTTTCGTTCCTTTAACACAGGCACTGCAGACAGCTACATCGCAGGTTCTTAAGGCTAATCCAGTGACCTTGTCTCATTTTGTTATAATGAATAATTGTAATTCGGGTAATTAACCTGAAGTAACAGCTGATAGCTAAAACTGTGTCTGGTGACAGAGTACATCATGCGCATTCCTGACATCACAACATGTTAGGGCTTTTCCTTTGTGTGGTCATTGCTGTTGTCACATCTCCATCTCTGAGAGAACAGCTCTCCTGTTTCCTCTGCTCAGAGCTGGAGGTCAACGTAATACATTAAATTCTTTCTGAACAGCTCCAAGAAAAATGCTTCCCTAGCATAAACTCAGGGAATACATTACACTAATACACCAGTACCAAATATTCTTAAAAAAAAAAAAAAAAGTTATGGCCAAGAAATACAGTTAGAAATTTGCTCTTGCTTGTGGCAGGACATCCAGGACATCCTCCCAGAGCGCAGGACCTCCTGACGTGGTCTCAGCAGGGGCCGTGCTCCTCCCATGTCTCATGGAGAAGAATACTTAAGCAAAAGGTCCCTATAAGGCTACAAGTAAAAGCCTTAGCATCAGGGTGGAAA